GTGTGTGTGTGTGTGTGTGTGTGTGTGTGTGTGTGTGTGTGTGTGTGTGTGTGAGAGAGAGAGAGAGAGAGAAAGAGAGAGAAACGGGAAGAGGAAAGGGAGGAAAAGAGCAACGATGAGAGCAGAGAGAAGATAAAGAGAGATGGGCAGCGGGTGAAGAAAGAGCGTTCGAGAAAGAGCGCCGTTAGTCGATCGAGCGCTCGAAAAGGCTATTTAACATTCCGCGCTTGGAAATAACGCGCTTCGGGAATCACCTGGCGATCGACTGGCGGTGCCAGTTTTCAAACTCGTTTCCTCCGCGTTCGTGCCTCCGCTCTTACGCTCCGTCGTCCCGTCACTCCCCTTGCGGGACCCTTGCGGTGTCCCAACTCACTCTCTTTCTCTCTTTCTTCTACCCCGTTCGTGCGACTTCTTCGACAACGAACGGCTAGTCGACTTTCTTCCCGCGAGAAAAAGATTCGCAAGAGACACAGGTACACACGGAGGTTTGAGGACCGGCCGGTCGGTTGGTCTGCCGGCGAAACAATCCCGCGACCGTAGAATGACAGCTCGCGCAAGTAGGTCAGGTACCGAGTGGTGACCGGAGGGGAGAATGGGACAGAGCGAGATGAAGCCGTGTTTCTCTCTCTTTCTCTCTCCCTTTCTCGCTATCTTACGGAACGATTCGGAGCGGACTTCTCGACAAGTCGCGATCGAGCCACCATGTCACGGTGTCACAGATAACGAACGACTGGGCGCACTCACCTTGCTGCGAGCGGGGCTGAGGTGACGGCCCGTGACAATTTGAAACGGCCGCACTGAACACACTCCATGCCTACCTCCTGTCGCGAACACGCACAGACAGGCACCGCACTCCGTGTGTAGCGGTCAGGCGAGGGGGCGGGCAGCAGCGGGGGGAGGATCCGAGGGGGTGTACGCCTCGTTTTTCGGGACTTTCGCAGCCGGCGGGATGCGCCCCGACGCGCCGTCTCCCGTTAGACGCGGACAACGAGCATCGACGCGCACAAAAAGCAGACGGTCACGACGCGGAAGCGCGAGAAATAGAAAAATACAAGCACCACTCGCACCGTGGCACGTCGCGTCGCGAAATACGCGTGCGAGTCGGTCCCACTCGGCCGTGCTCGGCTCGGTTCGGCCGCTGCCGGCGCGACTCGATCCGTGACCGTGGCGACGTCGCGCGGCGTGCACGCCAAGCTTCTCAACTCGAGCCGAAAGCGCGCGCGTTTCGACGTCGTCGCGCGATAATGATGTTCCACACAGACCATACACTGACCAAAAATACTTGAAAATTTACCTGCGGAATATAAAGTTAATTTCTACGAAGTAAATTCGGCTTCTGTGAAATACAATTTATCTCCGTGTGAGTAAATTTGGTATCTCACACAGATAAATTTTCAAGTATTTTTTTCTCTCTGCGTAGACCGAGAAACACATCTAATATTCGACTTATATATACGATATCAAGGATATTTATATACACGATATTAAAGGATGTATGTACGATATCAAGGATTATATATCAGAATATATGTATATTACGATCACGAATTTTAGACTCGTAATTTCCGACGAGATATCATTAAAGATCGACAGCTATTGGATTATATGCAACTATCATTGCATAAATAAGCATCATAGAATATTAATATTGTCCAAAATTGGAAAATAATGAATTATAGCACTGACACTGTAGGTTAACTGTCTAGATGCTTATTTACGAGGCTCGAAATAGTCGGTAACGTCAGTGTTTTCCATTAGAATTACATGTTTACATGTAAATTATGATATTTTACGTCGTCCACGTGTAAATAAAAATGTAAACTATATATATGTCATCTGTGTAGACAAGTAATCTATGAATGTCATTTAAAGAATGTATGACTTGCTCAAGAATCAATACATGTCTATATTATTATTTAATCTTTAGAATCCACAAAATTACTAGATTACTTTCTTGTAGAGAGTCGAATCTATTCACCAATATGGCACATAATAAAATAAAAATTTCGTGCAATTTGTTATCTCTTTCAAATATTACATTTACAATTAATATCTAAAATACAGATACAGTAACCTTATAATTTAATTGCTTCTTTTTGTGTATTTAACTAATAATTTGCAATATTCTACAGTTTATATTGTCTACACAGAAAACGATCGTGTGTGCATATATCACGTAGAAAATGCATAAACAATTCATGTGATCTTGAAATCTACTGCAAAATATATTCCCACAGTAAACACTACATGTTATGTAACATTGTTTTGTGGGACGTAACATTAATGTTGTGTTACTGATATACTGAATGTTTACCAGGCTACTTTTCCAATTATCCTCGTTTAGGCCATCATCGGTGAGTACGCAATTCTACGCAGGCCGATACTTTTTGGTATTATTTTGCCGACAATGATGATTCAGTTCAACACGGTACTACACATCAAAGGCTTCATTCTGACGTTCACTGCAAGTATTAGAAATTTTCAATATACGTGGACTACAGATTTCAGTAGTGGCGGTGTGCATATCGTGGAATTAAGTAGTCTAAAAGTAGAGCAAACGTGCAAACTCACCCCATCCATCTTGTCCGACAGGAGCAACCGTGGATGCCTCTGTTAGCGACTCCATCTTTCCAACGGTAACATGTTGAATGCTGAATACTACATCGCCTTCGATCGGACTCGCACGGGCCGATTTATGCATCGAAACGGTTATACGTCACTCGACTCGACACCACCGACACTCCTTCGCACGCGGGATTCACTTTCGACGGGTGAAGAGATGCAACGGGAAACAATAGCGACCTGAATTCGAACCGCCGCGGAACCGCGTAAAGTGACGAGCTTTCGTGAATTTTCTTCTCGAGCGGGAGCCGCGTGCGCATGCGTAAGCGATGTCTCAGCCAATCAAGAGCCTCGATGCATATGTAGCGATGTCTCAGCCAATCAGGAGCCTCGACGCATGCGTACAGAGTTTCCCGCGTGAGAAGGAAAGCCTATCACTCGCATGAACTGCCGCGAATGACGCGATCACGTGATTAATATATGAATTGCATTTAAAGAACAACGAATGGCTGTGATGGGACAACTGTATCAAGACTTTCGCTATTTCGAGAAACTCAATCATTGCGAAATGTGAGGTAAGTGTCTGAATGATTGAAACATTAATAACATATTTGTATTTAATATCTTGAAAGAAGCCTTTTGTTAAGAGCTTCTTTTATGCTTCCTTTATGCCGATCTGTAATATTATTAAGGCTGTGATCCACTAGGTGCTGCAAATCCTTTGAAAAGTCATATAAACCAATCGTCGTTTCTCTTTAAATGCTTCAGAGCGTTTGCAGTGTCTAATGAAATATGCTTTGAATGAGCATTCAGTCATTGAGCCTTTATTATTTACTAATTAGGATATAATTCGTTTTTCAGCTCCATCATTGTTATGTGTTTGAGGAGCCATTCTCGTATTCGATTATATAACATGAGTTTCACATATTCGTCAAGTGGTCACCAAAAGCAGCATAAACATGTTAGGTTAGGCTTCGTGCATGTTACATGTCCGTAGCTAAGAATTCAAATCAGCGTCCTTTCCACTTTCGACACGCTGAAGGAGTATCGTACACGAAACGTCGTGACAAATGTTGTAAGTGAATCTCATGCATTCTCAGATAGCACAGGAATATTATATGAATGTTCTGCAAATATTCCTTATGAATATTTGTGTATTCTATAAATGTACATTCATATGTTCATGGTGCATTCATAGCATATTTTAATGACACAAGTATAAATGTTCTATGAATATGCATAAACTGTAGATGTAAAAATAAAATATAGTTTGCAAAATGTACATTAATCAAATATAGATTGATTTTGCTTCTACACAATTATAGAAGAATTTAAATATTAGATATATATCGTTACTAGCTACATAATAAGTGCATATTACTATTTGAAAAATTAGAGAAACTCTACATTTACATGAATACATTATACATGTGTATAAATAAACTTGATACATGTTCTAAATACATTATTTTGTGTTATAAATATGAAAATCTTTGCCTACAATATTGTACATGTGTTCATAGAATATTTTAGAATGAACAACCCAGGAATAAATGATTATGTATAATTATATAAAACTGTACATAATTATGTATAAATTATATGTGAATCTAGTTCATCTCTATATAGTCATGTGTAATCATATATGTTTACACGTAAATAAAATAATGTTAATTCAAAAAAGAGAAGAAACAGTTCCAGTTACTTAAACGTTGACATATCATGTATTGCCAGATGCATTTACTTTATATTTCTATAAGAGTATTTTTTTTATTGTGTATATATATATATATATATATATATGTCCATATAAGGATAAAATTCATATATAATTTTTTTTCCCGGGAATATTTATATTTGATAAGAATATTCATAGAATATTCTGTACCATCTGGGTTTATTGTGGCAAAACATTAGGTGTGTTCTTTTCAACTGAACTATCTGAACTGGTGCACACTGGTGCAATAAGTTAGAGTGAGACAAATATATTTTGTCTCATTTTAACTTATTGCACCAGTTTAGCAGTGCAACAAGAAAGAACAGGGCCGTATTCTTGAAATTTTTGCGTAATTAAATTTATACGTAATTTTCATTGCGCAGCTATTTTATGGTATAATTAAATCTGCGCAGTAAAACTTATATATATGCAACTATTTCAAGAATAAGGACTCTGATCTACAGCATTAGTCTACAGCAATTCAAGCAGTTTAGTTAAAAAGGACAGATCTAGAGTCAAAAGACTACTGAACTGATCGTAGTTTGTTCGTGTTGCTTGTATTTTTACATCTAATGTTTGTTACACACCAGACGCGATATCTAATGAGAGTTTTTTCTAAAGAGAGGACTTTAGGTGTAAAAGTGTCAAAAGTGCAGACAACGCGAACAGACCTCGTTGCGAGTACTGACTGTACACGATCGTCACGTGACAGCGACGCGAAGTTCAAACGGTTTAAACGGTTGTCGGTTTGCGATTTCAGAATGCCGCGCAAAATATCGTCGGAAGTGCCGGAAGGAAATTTCATGCGTTGTGTCGTTGAAACACCGAAAGAAAGCATCTTGCGGAATGGGTCATCTAAAGGACGGATTGAAGTATTACGTTTTCGTCGTATTATGGGTGGCCGTTTTGCAGTTGAAATCGCAGTCCTATTTTGCCAGCTAGCAGAAAGAGCAGTTGGTAAGTGTTTCATATATTTCTTTGAATATTACTTTCGAAATATCCTTGGAATGTCCTTCTTGCGTTTGAAATATGTATTTTTCGCGACGTCAGCGACAGATGGTTAACGTTCGTAAAAATATATCGTCACATATTTACTACTAACTATGCATAAAAACAAGAATTCTGCATAAAAAATTACGAATCATTAAGATAAAACCTGAGATATTCAAGAATAAAGTGTGAGTTATTATTAGAAATTAATTCCCAATTTGTTAATTTTGTACTATATTGATTTCAACGTTAAAATAGTTACATTATTACTAATAAAAGTAGCATAGAAATACCAATTAAGAATTCAATATAGAAAGTAATAAACCATTAAGATGAAATTTGAGATATTCAAGAATGAAACGTAAGTTATAACAAGTTGGAAATTAATTCCCAAGTATCAAGTTGTAAATCTCTCAAACATACTGTAATATATATTGTCTTATACATTTATTAACATTATATTATGTATGAATAATAAAAAAATTGTTCAAAAGTATGCTTGAGATTAGATTAAATTCAACGTTCCAAACAATGTCCAATATTTTTCATACACCAGAACTTGCAGCAATTTGTCCTTGTATGTTGGATCTAAAATTTTAAACAAATTTTTTTCAATTTTTGGCATATTGCCCTTGTAACAGAATACAATTTCTTTGAAGGATAGTGCAGTAAACTCTGTTTCCAAACGATAATTTATCCATTCAATCACATCCAGTGGTAGTATGTTATCATTGAAGTGTCGTAGTCCAATTGACTTTGTCCAATTATAGCATATTTCTGATATTTTCACGGGCTCAAAGACATCGTAATTTCTGCACTTGTTGAAGACCTGATGATAAGTAATTGATGATAATCGTAATAACAGAATTAACTTTTTTCTATTACATCTTATTTCATAATTTATTTCATAACTTTCAAGATCATCGATTTGCTTGAAAAAGAAATATTTCACAATGAAAATAAGAAAAGAATGTCCTTAAAATCAAATTATTTTTCCAATTTAACTTTTCATTTGTTACGTTAGATTAGAAGGAACAAATTTAGAAAATACAAATTCTTTAATAACTTACATCAGTTTCATCCATTTCATAGTCTGTGTCTAATAACGAAACGCTCCAGCAGAAGAGAGCACTGAATGCTATTTCGGGACACTTATCAGCTACTGTATTGAGGAACATGTTAAAGAAAACCGGTAACATTCTTTCTATACATTTCACTTCGTTAGACGGCTCAATACGACAAATCAGTTTGCATGCTTCAGACCGAACATCCGCATTATCATCGACTAATAATTGCAATGTCATTGTCCACCAATCTAGCACAGGATCTGTAAAGATATCCTTTTATTGTTATACCGTTATTTTGATTCAATTCCGCTATAATTATCCGTTATAATTATTATATAGCTCAAACATACGGCATTGCTCGGCATTAATATTGTCTGCATCGAAAAGATCAAAGAGTATATCGAAAACTGATGGTCTAAAGTCTTTGCATAACGAACTGATCCAGTTGCTCTCGCAGACTTTTCTGTAAATGTCCTTTTTATATTCCTTCTCGAGCTCTTTATCCTTAAAATAGAAATGTCAGCATGTATTGCGTGAATTTTACATGAAACAAAGAAAAGTACAAAAATGAGCAAACCGTTATATCATGTATCAGTGTCGTCATACATTTCCCAAGCAATCGTAGATAATTAACGCGTTGGAAATAAACATTGCTCGCTTTGTGCGAGTATATTCTCCGCAGCACTAAGGTGCAAATCTCATGTTTCTTGTGATCAGCATCAGCGACAAACCATTCATTTGCATTCATTAGACAGTTATACAAGAAATCGAAAAGTGCATCTTGTAAAACGGGATTATATTGATGTAAATTTTTGGTGAAAAGGGCAGCATTCCAAGAAATTATTAGAATAGCGTAATTGCCCAGCAACTTCCTTTGTTCACTATCTTGGACTATTGTTAATACTTCGGGAACGGTGTTCCAAGCGATGCTTTGCACTTCAGCTTCCGGCGTGACCAAAAGTCGTGACCAAATCTCGAACGCTTTATTTCGTCCATTATGTACTGTTTGCAAGAAATCTAAATATTTTCCGACGTGCAACACGAGTTTGATCACGGATACTTTGTACATTTGCTCGCCTGGCCATGGCTGTCTTGGTTTTGATAAATCCTCTTCTATTAAGCACTGCTGAAGTGTATGCAATATATCCTTCATTTTGCAGTCGTCGATTCTAAATACATAAGAAAATATGGTTCAGATAAGTTTGCTTATTTGTGCTCCACATTCGTGGATCAAAATAACAAATCATAGATATAATGAAACAGTTATCTTACATGTTCTTTTCTGTTTTATATAATTCACGCAAGATATCTACATATACGGTAGCTAATGGGAAACTATTGAACCCATCGGATCTTCTGTTCAGACAACTTAATATACATTGCAGTATGCTCGAGAGATTTACGACTTGATGAGGTTTAAATAGCTCTTTGACGGACGGGAATTTCTTCAGAATTTTAAGTATCTGCAAAGTTAACAAATTGGGAATTAATTTCTAATAACAGCTCATATTTCACTCTTGAATATCTCAAATTTCATCTTAATGGTTTATTATACTTTTTATACTGAATTTTTAATTGATATTCTTATGCTACTTTTATTAGTAGTAGTGTGACTATTTTAATATTGAAATCAATATAGTAAAAAATTAACAAATTGGGAATTAATTTCTAATAATAACTCATACTTCATTCTTGAATATCTCAAATTTCATTTTAATGATTCATAACTTTTTATGCAAAATTCTTAATTGTTATTTTTATGCATAGTTAATAGTAGCGTAACTATTTTATCAATGTAATAATAGACAAATTTGGTTATACTTGCCTGCAGTAGATAGCCGTGGATTAGGTTCGCCGAGGTTCGAAGAACTTGAATGTCTTGAGTTATTTTTAAAATCAGTTGAAACAAATTCGTTAAAGTGCTGTGGGCTGTACTTTCAGTTAATAATGGTATTAATGCTCTAGCCGCGAGCTCACGTGTTTGATATACCGGACTTTTAGCGCACTGCGATACCAAATCACGCAATTCTTTTATCTGAAAACACGCATCGTCACATTATGCTGTTTCTGGTAGAGAACTTAAGGACATGTTGGATATCGACTTAATGTAGTTTCGTAGTTTGCACTGTTTTTCTATTTGGCTACATAAAAGTGCAAATACTTTTATAGAGTTGAAGTACAAATGTCAATGTTTGGACAGATACCAGATATTATGTTAAAAACAAAATTGTGTTAAAAAAAAATTGATAAAATTTTATAATTTTGATATATCTGATGTTCTTCTATATATTGATATTTTTTACTTTTACTGGAAGCATTTGCGATTCTATGCAACCAAATAAAGAAGTAGTGCGAATTACGAAACTGCATTATATCCAGCATCCTCTCTTAAGTGAATTTTCTAAATTTAAATTGTTGATTTTCTAAAATTGAATTATTTCTAAATACCTTCTGAGTAACGTCCGTTTCGTTACTAATATACAACCGCGATAGCAACAATAAAATGGCCTGCACGTCCGACTTTATCGTTGTATCGTTGGTCGATATGAAAGTTCGCAATTCATCTAGAATAAAAGGTAGAAGACTGGGATATCTTTCGAAGAATAGTCTCCCTGTCATCATGTTGCAGGTCGTTAGATTAATGTGATCTTTGGTTCTTTGAACACCAAATATTCGAACTATAAGCGCACTAAATAATAACGTGGCTGCATTGCGTTCCTGTATTCCGATTAAAAGTTGTTGGTTAAAATTTATACCTGAGAGTTCTCTGCGTGAGCAGAGATATGCATATTGATTGAAGTACCGATAGTCTTTATGGGAACAATAATTTAGAATAACTTACTGCCCATGTTCTACCATCGTAGTGTTTAAACGCCACTATCAAACCGTCCGCGACGTAACGTTTAACCGTGTCGCTGAGCTGAGAGTGTCTGAATAGGGCTCTGAGAATATTCATGGAATGAATCTTTATCTCGGTAATGTCAAGCTTAACTTTTGCTTCGAAAGCTTCGCTTCTGCTCTCTATTTCCGGTTTCATTATTTTTTTGTTAGGGAAAAATATGTTAATTATATTTGGTAAGATGAAATCTTCGTACATTATGTCTGTCACTTTTGCCCATAAATTAACGGTATCTTCAAGTTTTGTGAATTGTAATAAGATTTTCATAATTGAGTAAAAGATCCTGTTTGAATTTTCACCCGTTTTTAGCGTCGAGGATACCAGTCCCTATAAATTTCAAAATTGTAAAACTGCCAAATCTTCCTTTATACAATAAGATTTTGTTCCTCATTCTTCTCAGTACCTGTATCAAAAACGGAACACCCGCGCTTCTTCTCGTCGCGCATATCAAATATCCTGGTATTAATCCTGTGATACCTATTAAGATATCGTGCAAGCACCACATAGGAAGTAGTTTTAAATCTACACTTGTCGATTGCCACAATTGCGTACATAATTGATGGAAACCCACGTACGCCTGCTCGAACGCTCCTCTGTGCTTCGTATCACACAATAATGAGGCGAGATGTTCCATCATTTCTCCAATCTGCTTACACACGTATCGTGTTAAATTATGAAGTTATATATTTCATACAGTGAGTGCAAAAAGTATTCATACACAGATTGTCTTGAAGAAGGCTTTATTTGCAGAAAATAAGCTTTACTTAATAATTTATTAACAGTGAACATAAGTGATATATTTCTCAAAATTATGTTAATAAATTGTTAAAACTATTTTCTAAAAATAAGGTTTTTTTTTCAAAATTCTCTGCAAGATTACTTTTTGCACTCACTGTATATATATATGTACATATAGATTATCTTACTTGTTGCATTGAAAGCAGTTCACTTTTAAATATGTTTGTTTGTATCGTCGCCTTGGTGGCAAACAGACCGAACAAGTGGCTGACTTCTTTGACAGTACGCCAAGAACAAAGTAATACCATCTGTGGCGTTACCCTCTCATTTCCAGGAAACGATACGTTCAATGTTTTCAAGTCCATTGGTAAATGGCCCTCCGGTGAGGCATTATTTACTACTACAGAAACAGTTTTATTTAATTGGATGCATAGTGTAATGATATCAGCTATAACATCTTTCCATAATTTGTCTTTTTCAGCATTTCTAAAAGCAGAGCGATGGTATATCAATTAGAATTTTGCAGAAATTGATAACACAAGTTTTCCTTTTATACCTCAAGTTGCAGTCATTGAGCAAACTTCTCATGCAAAACAAATATCCATATAGGGAACATGTAATAATTGTCAATCCAATGTTCAGTTTTGATGAAACCAATGCCTTCTAAAAAGAAATAGACAACATATTTATTCACTGTAAACACATAACTTTGATAATATTAAAATAAGAACCATATCACACATATATGTACTTTTAATCTTCCATACAGTAGTAAAATTAGCTGTAACTTCGTTGCTTCTGCAATATTGTCATCAACTTTGTAATCTAGAATATTCTCTTCAGAAGCTAGAATTATATCATTGAGAACATCCTTTATAACAGAAGACAGCATGGATATTTTAAACATGTATGCAGCTGTAACACTGTCAATGGGTCGTATACTTGTACCTAGTTGAAATGCCACTTTAATTATCATTTCAACTTGCCACTTCGAATCTAAACATAAGAGATTTGGATCTGTGTGTTTTATTAATTGATATGCCATCTCTTTGTTATGCTCATACGTATCCAGAAGTAAACATTGGAATATTTTTTCCACTTGTTCCTTGCTCCATTCAATATCTTTAAATTCATTACTAAGAAGTTCTTGCACAAGCAAAAGTATCCGCAAACTGGAACGTCTACGATGATACGTTGCATCTGGATATAGATTATCTACACAAATCTCACGTAGATTTATAAAGAATACAGTATAGTCCATTATATTATATTCAATTTGCTCAGATATTTGATCAGATACAGATAAAGTGTCTGTGTAAGTCTCAAAAGCAGCATTTTCTTTATCATGATTTCTTATTCTTTCTCTTTGTATCAATTGTCTTTGCATCACAGCCAAACTATCCTTGAGTCGTTTTAAGGCCTATAAAAAGACGGTGAAAACTTAATCAGACTAAAATTTTAATAACACATGACACTGGTATTTCTTTCTTACTTTTTTAATAAGAGGTATATATTCCATTTTCTCGCAGAGATTGCATCTTAGGAATAACAAAATGATATTAAGTTCCTTGTATGTAAATCTTAATGTACTTTTCTTTGATTCCACCAAGAGTGCCAGAGTATCCAATCTGTACTGTGTGTGATAGAAAATTATGGCAAATAATATAAAATAAAATAAATTACTACTAAAGCTGTAAATTATTATAATTATTTACCTCTTCATTGTAATGTTCAACATATGCTTCTAAAACACTGTATTCCAAGATATTTCGCCATTTGATAGTTTGTTGCGTGAAATATTTATCCAGATCCAACGTGCCATTTTGTTTTAATTTTCTCAATTTACTTAAACACAAATTTAAACTAACATTTTCATTTAATAATTCCTCCATTACTTATATACATGAGGTAACACGTAGCGATTGTTTAAAGTTAAACTTGTTTCATAAGGTTATATACAATTGTGAACATGAGTATAATTAGAGTGCCAGTGGTTACGTTGCAAACTGCACAGAACAAAGTATTCAAACTAGAGAACCTCAAGTAAAGAGAATCGCCAACTTGGTCACGTGACCAGCTGATTGGCTGGCATAAATATATACGGATTTAGATATTGCGACGCCAATGCAGACAAGTGCTTATATTTATATATATGTACATATGGTTTTGCATCGGCGTCGCAATGTCCAAATCCGTATATGTTTATGCCAACCAATTGCAGAGTAGCTGAGTAGCTGGTCACATGACCAAGTTGGTGATTCTCTTTACTAGAGGTTCTCTAATTAAAACTGTATTGAAATTGTTTATACACGTGAACCTGATGTCAGAGAGAAGGCGAAGCATATATGTAATACTACTATATGGCGCGTAGAGGAATTTTTGCTATAAGAGAGAATGAAAAAAGACAGAAGGATAGAAAATGGACGGTAATTGGCTCACTAGAAAAGAGTGTTCTATGATCGCAATGCGCAAGCGTGGCGACAAAATGTGACATACATACATGTAAACATAGCGACGTCTTTTCAACGTCGATCGACAAGTCATTTCTCACTGGAAATGTGTTAAAGAAACTGAGTAATTGATAATAAATATGAATAAGATTAAATAAGAAAAATAAATATGGAAAGTGTCTATAATGTTGTGTGTGTATGCAAAGCGTCAAGTCTAATCGTATTGGCTTAGACCAATTTTATGATGGAAGAGTAAACATTACGCATGCGCTTTGCACAGACAGAACACTGATATTGATACAGAAAAAGATAGACGAACATTGTCTGCACCGTAGTGTTGCGGTATCGCTGAGAGCTCTACGCGCCATATATTAGTATTACATATAACATATGGTATACATATGTATGGTATAACATATGGTATACATATGAGGCGAAGTATCGTTTGCCGGTTTTAGCTAATTCATGGGTCTGTTTTCTATTCCTGCACTGCTGAACTGGTGTAATAAGTTAGAATGAGACAAGTATATTTTTTCTCGCTCTAACTTATGGACGAGTTTTTTAATTCTTCGATGGATCCATCGATGAATTAAAAAACTCGACCTATTTCACCAGTCCAGCAATGTAGGAACGAAAAACAAACCTCATGTATGCGAAGCGCTGCTTGGCGCTGCTGTGCAAATATGCACGTTAACTACGCAACAGGTAGGCATGAATTTTCTCTGTAGGTAACATTCACGATTCATCGGTTCTGTGTCGCACTATGTCCACGAGTCAAGTAAGTTAATTGGATAAAGACGGAAAATAATCCTACTTGTCTTCCTGCATTACTGGCAAGCAAACAATTGCTGCAGTAAACGCGAAGCGAGCTAATTACGATTTAATCGCAAGGCAAACATCACTCTCTTCATTCTTTTCACTCGTGAATATGGCATGGAACAGAACCACCGACGAGGTAATACTAAAAACTGTTGTTCTTACGGGATTTTCGTTATTCAATAACCTCCTGTTGGTAAATTTGTCGATAAAAATGTAAAATCTATACAGATGATAACTACAGAGAAATGCAGTTTCACAAAAATATCGAATATATCTTATTGTAGGTTTGCATATATAATGATGAAACATTAAGATAGTATTTAAGTTATAAAATTAATACTTCATTATATACTGAATGTCCAGATATTTATATCAGATAACTAAACATGAGTCGATAATGTCATCCTTCTTCAGTGATCTAGGGGCTGCTTTGAGACTCCTTTGGCAATACGAAAATTTACTTAGCGCTGAGGCGGTCTTTAATTATATCTCATTTGTGTCTCTGTCCTTCTCTCTGTATTAATTGATTACCCTGTCGGTGTCGACATCTACTCCGCGATTGTAAGGACCTAAATTCGTACTACAAACACAATCGTACCCAGTAAGCAAGAAACCATTAATATAACGTTGCTACAATGATATTAAAGAACCTATAATATTGTCAAATATGTAGTGTTTAATATTGTATTAAACATCATTATGAACATACTTTGATCGTGATTTGGAAGTTTCAATAATGTTGAAATAGAGTTGCTATAACGTTTTAATCGGCAGAAATATTTTTAAGGTGTTGCATTGATCTCAAATAAATGTTAAAGTAACATTTGAAAAATATATTTTTTGTAATGTTTTTAAAATGTTTAAACAACATTCCGAAAAATCATATCATAAAATAACATGTGAAAAATATAAATGCAATTTTATTAAAAAATGTCCAAACAATACGCATGAAGTCAATGTTTCTAAACGTTAATTTAACGTTTCTTGCTTATTGGGTATGTTATTGATACATGAAGGATTGGGAGAATAAAACTAGTTAATGAAAAATTGGTTTCTTTAATTAAATTCAAGCGAGTTTTATTTTGCGTTGGTAAAAACGAAATCTATCACTAGATATCTATTAGCTAAAATATAACTCAATAAACCAATTGTTAGTACCATGCTGGCAGATTTACAGCAAATTTGATCAGATTACATTTTCTTACTCTCGGTGAATTTGTCAAATGTCAATTAAAATCGGAAGCATATATAACAAATAATTGCACACACCTGGAAATATGTAATAAAATACCCACACAGCAGATATATTCAAAATATATCATTGGGATATCCTAAAGATATCGAAACATCTCTAGGATATATCTGTGTGGGATATATTATTGTCTAAATCCTCCGACACGCAGGAGAAGGATTAGCTGCACGAATTAAAATATATTATTTAATTAAAAATTAAATTAAAAATACAGTTAATATCGCTGCTACCAAAGTTAAATAGATCAGCTATTTGAATTTTAACTATGGTAAAAAATATTCGCTATTAAATAAAAAATTCTCATTATTATCATATTTCGCTTTAATTTTAAATGACACTTTATATACCCGTCGAAAACATAAAATTGCGTTCGTATTATAAATCCAAGCCAAGGTTTCTCATTTGTTTTTAACATAGATTAATAATTGACGTCCACTTTAATGGAAACGCAAAAATCAATGTCTTTCGTACTTACACGATTACGCTATTTGATCCTTATTTCACAGAAGAGCGATTTCATGTCCATCGGAAGCGCGGTAATTTTTCTTTTCCAATGGTCTTTGTTTCAAGTCGCTACGACGTAAGTGACGTTATTCACCATTATTATTTATCCAGACACTATATTATTTTAATATTTATATTATTTAGTATTTATTTTTTATTATTTAGTATTATATTTTCATTATTTAGTATTATTTTATTATTTAGCATTTTAGTAGGGATGTACGATTTTATGATTTTCTTTTCTTAAACCGCAATGCGATACGCAATTGGACCTTTATCGCAAGATCGCGTCTGCAATTCAAAATCATTCGTCATTTTGATTAAGTATCTGTGTAAATATCGCGCGACAATCTATGACATTTTATACTATCTAGAGTGAGATTATTCCATATAACAACCTTAAAATATTAAGCTACATTATTTCTTTTTATATATGATATATATAAAAATTTTTTACATATGTTTCAGAAGACTACCAAAGATTGTTATACTTATTTATTTAAACATTACGATTCCTATCATGCTCCTGTGAAAAATTGCGTTAGCGATTCAAAATTTCATTTGCGATATACAAAAATTGTGATGTATCATATTCATTACGATTCTTAGAAAAGAGTGATACACAATTTCATGAATTGCACATCTCTATATTTTAGACCTGATCTATAATAGATGGAGTAAGGAGTAGGAGTAGGAGTAAGACGAACTAGAAATAATTTATTTCGCTTACTTCCTTATTCCAATAAAAGTTTTCCCATCTACATCACATGGAGTAAGCCTGAATTAAATAGTAAGAGCTGGAGTAAGGGAGTAAGCGAAATAAATTATTTTCATTTCGTCTTACTCCTACTCCTACTCCTTACTCCATCTATTGTAGATCGGGTCATAAGCAGTAAGCAAATTGACCAATTCCATTCTCACGATTCAAGAATAATCGATTGTGATTGATCCGCTTTTTACCGTGCGGATAGACATGACGCGGCGCGACGCAATATGAATGGAACGCAGAACCGGTTGTCACCTCCGTAAAGTCACGTCTTACACTGCACGCGACAGCTCGCGGCAGGTTCGGTCCGTTCCCCCCACTTCGCTCCCCCCTCTCTCAGCTCTCCCCACTCCGCTCTCCCCACTCCGCGCACGCCGCTGCGCGGTCGTTCACCTCTGTTGAGGACAACACGGCACGTAGTACGCTGGAGTGAGTGAAAGTGCGAGTGTCGTGTACGTGCGAAAATTTCGCGTCGTCGATTCCGCAACTTTAAAAGACTATAACTCACGAATGAGTTGACGTAGCGACGCGAAATAAAAAACAGTCTCTTTGGCACACGTTTCCGCACGTGTCTATGCTAATCTTTCATTGCCATTTGGTACGTGCGTCGCCCGTCGGAATCACGCGGCCATAGAAGAAGAGCACAACGCGCGGCAATATCGAAACAATACACAAAAAGAACTCATATCATCGTTCGTTGACTGTCATTACACGCCGCTGAATGACCACGAGAGTGTGTGATCGCGACAATAAACTACACTATCAAATCATCACGGATCTTTAAATTACTTGCCTACGTCGCTTTTTCGTATGTTCCACGTTCCGTATGTTCACGTTTCAAGGCGACGAGCGATGAGTACGCGTATCGGCGAGTCAGTGATCATTTTCGCGTGACCTAGAAATTTCGGCGCTTCGTGAAATATTTAAATCATCCGGCTCTCTCTCGTGGGCGTCGCGTTAATTAACATGCGTTTGCTCGGTCGAATCGTCGTACCTACGCGAGTGTTATAGTGTCAGTGCCACAACGGAGCAGCCGGGGAGCCAAAACGCCGGATTCGGGGGATGCGTAGATGCGGGCAGCAATACATCGTACATATCCAGGTAAGTGAAATAATTAATTATACCAGAGATTTCCGAGATTACAGTTGATGTGTGACGAGAATGAAGAGATATACTGAGAGAAAAAAATGGTTGATCTAACTAAAATTATAGTTATTTTTGACTCGAATCATATTTTTAATTATTCTAACATG